AATTTAGGACTAATCCTAAATCCATTACCAACATGGTTCTTGTGCATAACAAAACTTTGATGATAATGGAATTCTGGTAGCTACCAGGGTTCCCAGCTATAAGGAGAGGGAGCACCATTTATTACAATTATCTCCTTGGTCTCTGGCTTAGGATGTACTTCTCCAGAAACAGGCAGAGGAGGTTAGATTTCTCCCACGTACCATTAGGTTTCTGACATTAGTGTCCATGCCCTATTCTGGGAACAGAGAAGTGCGTGTGAGAGATCGTGATGGTGGCGAGTAATGGAATGGATTTTAATGTGTGCTCTTGGGGAAGTAGCTGCAACGCTCTGTAAATCTCTCCTTGTAAAAATACTCTTGCCATCAGAATGACAGGACCTTTCCATTCCCAAATCTAGACTCTCAGGGTTAACAATATACCATAACCTATGTGTTCAGTGATCTATTCCGGAACACATATACCTCATGCTTCCCACCCCACAGTACTGAACCTCATTCAGTTATCCTTTCTCAGGCATCCTCTTCTAATTCTACGTATTTTCTGTTAAATGTATTCTAAAACTGACCTCTTTAATTTTCTCTAATTTTAATCATTTTTTATGTCAGTCTTCTGTTTTCTAATACCTCCACCATCTCCACAACTATCCAGCACATAACTGAAACGAGTCTTGTGCTTGCCCTAATGAGTACATTTAATTTTCTCAACTCAAAGATGATCAAACTTGCCCTAGGTTACTCAGCTAATAAGGACATGCATGTATGTTGGGCTCCAGACATGAGGACTATTTGCCAGTATTTTCTTCATAACCTGGATACTGTGTTGGGAACTCTCTCTCTGTACCCTTAACCTTTTTTCACTTGCCAAATTCCTATTGTTCCTTTTAAAAATTAAGTTAATTTTTAAAAATTAATTTTTTAAATTAAATAATAATGTATTATTTGTTTCAGGGTCTTTTAAGGCTTATCTCAGGGGTCACCTCCTTGAAGAATCTTCTCAGGTTTTCTGTTTGCGCTCTTTCTATCATCTGTGTGTGGTGCCTTGGTCCTGGGTTTCATCCCCTCCTTGCTTTCACTGAACTGTAATTGTCAGCAACCTCTTTAGTCTCCCTTACTAGGCTGCAGATTCCTCCACAGCAGGGCAGGGTGTGGGTCTTGTCTTGGAATTACTAGCATTAGCACAGTACATAACACACAGCAAACACACAACAAATGCTTGCTGAGTACTGTGCAATGATCCCACTTCTCTGCTTGGACCAAAAGCCTAGTGAATGATGTCATCTGACTTAGTAGGAAAGATTTTTCATCAGGAGCAATGCCGTTTTCTCAGCTTTTCATGAACTCATTATCTCACAGGTCTATACTGGGACAAGTAGCTGCTATTAGTTGAGGAACTACCACTTCTCAGATGCTGAGATGTATGCTTTGTGCACATTACGCTTATCCTGAGAGTACTGCCAAGTGGACATCATCCTCATGTTATGGATCAAGCTCAAAATCAGTTACCCGAAGTAACTGGCCTGCAGTCATAGAGAAGAAAGGTGTTGTTTTAAAAGCATTATAAAATCCCCTATTATGTACAGTCATCCCTGTCCTGGAGAGATTGACTAGTATTTGAAATTGCTTACGTGTGCGCGCACACACACACACACACACACAGAGTACATGTGTAGTGCTGGAGTATGTGAAATCCTGGTTTACTAGCATTTATAGAGGTACAAGACAGTTCTACCATATGTATTATCTAAAGTAAATTATGCCTGTATTCTTAATTTTCTTAAAAGCAGGGATTATAATACCTACTTACTTCAAAGGGGGTTACTTAAAAAAAAAATCATATTTACCAAAATGCTTTGTTAAAGAAGTGGGCAGAGTCCCACCTCAGAGCACTATCCTGGATAGAGTTTAGTGCTGTGTTTCTCAGGTTGGTGGCATCAGAGCCACCTGAGGTGTTAAGAGCAGATGAGAGAAGCCAGGCCAGAAGTCCACATTTAACAAGTTCCCAAATGATTCTACTACACACAGAACTTTGATAAATGCCAGGTTAGGACAATGCTTCTCAAGCTTTAATATACATATGACTCGCTTGCAAATCTTGTTAAAATGCAGATTTGAATTCAGTGGGTCTGGGGGGGCGCGGGTGAGGGGAGGTTGAAATATTGCATGTCTAACAAGCTCCCAGGGGAAGCCAATGTTGCTGGTCTATGGATCACCTCTGAGTGGCAGGGGCTTGGAAGAGCTACCCCACTGGAACAAATAAGCTTTGCTTTTTTCCTGGATCACAGATTGAATCTCCCAGACTCAGGGAGTATTCCAGAAAGCCCAAGATCTTAGTATTGCTACAAAACACTTGAACTACTCAAAACCAAATTGGAACACATTCCCTATTTTTTTCAGCAGTAGCCTCCTTTTCAGATACAGACAGCACATATGTTTAGCATGTAAAAGAATAATTTACTGCTATTACTTGAGTTCCATTTACTGCGCAAAGCATTAAAATATATTTTTTTCTAATGCCGGCTACAACCCGACAAGGTGGATATTCTTGCTCTATAGATTAAAAAAAGGATGACACAGAGAGCATAAATTACTTGTTCAAAGTCACATGGCTAGCTAAGTGTTGCAGCTAGGGTTCCAATCCTGTTCTTTTGGGATCCAAAGCCTATATGTGCCCTCTATATGTCCTCCGCAATGCTAGGTGCAATTTTGGTACAGAATGTGATAACTTAGGGAAAAAATATTTTCTCCCGTATCAGTCTTCGAGTTCAAGGGTTTGCTAAGGCAGATTCTAGATGGGGGTGAGGATGGGGATAAGGTTAATTAGTAATCTGTAATGCCTCATGAACAAAAACATGCAGATAGCATCTTTGTCTATGGTTCCCATTAATCTGATAATACAAATGGAATAAAAAGGACATCTGTGACCAGGGCACTGATCCTAAATGTTGCCACCTACCCTCAGGCTTTTAGCCATGGAACTCAACCACTAAAAAGGAAAAGTTCTTTCTGATCCTTATGGTCTATCAACTTTTCCACCTTCTCTTATATGAGGTTTCTGTAATTCTAAATTTTACACCAACTCAGGTTGACCCTACCATGTGATTTCAGTTACCACACTTCCCTGCCTCTAATAAAATTGCCTGCGCCTGAAAAAAAAATGTATTGTTTAGTCAAATACATTGAAAGTGCGGCAGTTTTGAAGATTTTCGTTTGCCCAACAAAATCTTCTGTATCTGTCACAAGGCTGACATGGAGAGAAATGCATGGTAGTAAAGATGCTCACAGAAATCAACCAGATACCCAAGTGTACCAAATGGAGGAAAGACAGCTATGAAATAAGCTGTCTAGGCATTTACCATCTAGTGCCTTTACCATCTAATGATCCATGCATGGAGTATCCACAGTCAGTTTTTTAACCTCCAGTTGCTTAACTGTTGTTTTCTAGATACTCATCTTTAACAATAGAATTGTCTACCTATATTACACAAAATGGTACAATTAGAAAGCCACATCTCCAGTAACTATATACATAGCAGTTAAAACCAAACAGTGATATTTGAACTATTAAGAAATATAAACTGATTTTGCACCTATGGTATTCTCTACACAGGATATTTCAAGAATAAAGAATGAGACCTAAAAAGAAACTGGTTTGAAAGCCCACTTAAAAGTATTTTTAGACTGTATATGTGATTTAAATAGACAGTAAGAAACAGAGTCTGGAGCATTGTTCTCAAACTAATAAGCATTTCCTATTTCACTCCTTAACCCCCAGGAACAGATCTCAGAAAATCTAAACTAAAGGCCCAGAGAAACCAATTCGAGATTTTTCTGGAGAGACTTTACTGAAATGTTTGTACATGAACATGTTTGCAATGAGTCACAATTTATAGGCCCTTGATGGCCAGCGCCTTATGTGCCTTTCTTCCTACATTCAATATCATTCTCAAGCCAGCTAGTGATATATTCTCCAGGCCCTAATAATTTTTATGAAGTTACCAGATCTCAGTCTCTAAGGCTGCTACCCAGCACCTTTTTTCATGCTATTCTTTTTTTTTAATGCTATCTTAACAGAAGAGAACCTGATTCTTTTTCTAAATTGTAAATCTCCCCAACCAGGCAGTTAATACGTTTTCCCAGCAAAAGGGAGCAGTACTTTTAAGACACCCAAAGAGAAGATGAGGGGCCTTGGGGACACTCCAAGTAAAAAAAAAAACAAACAGTGGGAAAGTGTGGAAGTGGAGGGGGCCTCTGGGCAAAGGCAGACATAATAACAGGATATGTTCGTTTCTAAAGGAAGCAGGAGCTGCAATAGTCCGAGGGCAGGAAAGGCGGAGTCAGCAGCACCCTAAGGAAACGAGTCAGGGTTTGCAGGGACCTGGCCCGCTTAGGGACTCCTGCTCCAGTCGGATCCAGGGCTGGTGAGCACCTCGCCTGCGGGAGACCAAGCGCAGGCCTCCTGGCACTAGTGGTTATAAAGAGTCACCCATCTGCTCCCTGTCACCTCCGCCAAAGATGGGCAATGGGGCGAAGAGAAAAGGCAAAGACAACAGGCGCCGCGGCAGGTGAACTTGTCAACAAGTCAGTCCCCGCCCAGAAGGAACCTCGGGGTCCCGGGGCCGGAAAAACTGAGAAGGCGAGGCGCGGCGTGGGTGGAGTGGGCTGTCGTGGGTGGGGGTGCAGCGGGCACCAGGGCAAGAGATGCGGCCGGCGCCCAGAACGCTTCCCTCCGGCTCCCTGGGGGCTGACGCACGCTCTCATGGCGCGCGCATCCTCCAGACCTGCCCAGGCCCGAGGGAGGAGGCGGGGGAGGGGAAGGGGCCGTGGCGGTTCTCACACGGGAACCAGGGACCGGAGAAAGCGACCCGCCTGTCACCCGCCGCCCGCGGAGGGCAGTTGGCGGCCCCAGGCTGGCGCCCCGACCGCCGCGGCTGCCGGGCGTCTCCCGCTGCAGCCTGCAGCCCGCCCGGCGCGCCCCCGCCCCGACCCCGGAGGGCAGGTACCTCGGAGTCCCGGCCCTCACCGGAGCCTCCTGGCAGCGGTCGAAGCGTCCCTCCGGCTCCCTCATCCGACGTCAGCGTCAGCAGAAGGCGAGGGAAGGGGGCGGGGGGAGCTCAGGAACCGGCCCTTCCTGCGGCGGTCGCCGCCAGCCGGAATAGCAGCCGGCCGAGCCCGTGCGCGCCGCAGCGCAGCGCAGCGGCCGGGGAGGAGCGGGCGGTCTGTCCCCGCCGCGAACGCCCGCGACCGGGGCGCCGCCGCCTCCCCTCCCTTCCTCTCTCCTCAGGAGACGCCCGGCGGGGCGACCCCTCCCAGCAGGACCCGGGCACCGGGAGGAGCGAGGGAGCGAAGGCCTCACCTTTTGGGGGGCGGGTCCGGGATGAGGGGAGTGAGCCTCCCTCTCTCTCCTCCCTGGGGACTTTCCTCGACCCCCATCTCCTGGGGTATCTCCCGCTTCGATTTGCCGCCGGGGGTGACCCCGCCCCTGCTCTCCCGCAGGTGTTCCACGTGTCCATAGCGTTTACGTCACAATGACCTGGCCGACAGGTGGGAGCCGGAGCGAGCGCTCAAGGGTTCCCTCGGTGCTGTGCGTGGTGCGTCCTCCTTGCTTCCACGTGAGATTTCTGAGGCTTTAGGAGACAGGAGACTTCATGACTTCAGTGCTAAAAGTTACAGAGGCCTGTATCTGGAAATCAACTTTGGACTTAACGGAAAAAGGCCGTGTGGGGGAAACAAAACAAAAACAACAACAACAACAAAAACCCAACTGTGTAGGTATAGTATATATATTTTTATTCCCAGTCATATATCTTTTAAACTCAAATTATTGACGCATATAGTAATTTTATCTTACCATCAAGAAAAAAAAAAACAGAATCGTGCTTTTATTATTTTTTTTAAGATTTTATTTATTTGACAGACAGAGATCACAAGCAGGCAGAGAAAGAGGAGGAAGCAGGCTTCCCGCTGAGCAGAGAGCCCATTGCGGGGTTGATCCTAGGACCCTGGGATCATGACCTGACCCGAAGGCAGAGGCTTTAACCCACTGAGCCACCCAGGTGTCCCCAGACTCTTGCTTTTAGAGCACCTTATGGTGATCACACAAAGAAAAGGTGTTGGAACAGGTGCTTCCTAAAATTATCTATGCTAAAAAGCAATCCCAGTGTGCTATGACTCAATCCCTGATCATGTTATATGTTTATAAATAAGTTCATAGATCAGTCACTGGTTGAAACAAATTAAGGGTGAAATGAAAGATGGTTATTGAGCAATGATGCAAACAAATCTGAGATCCACAGCTAACATAAGTGGGATGCTTTCCATGTGCCAGGCATATGCTGTATACTTTACATTCAATTCTTACTGTAACCCAGTGCTGTAGGTAAAGTTATTATCCCTATTTTACAGATGAAGACATTGCCCAGAGTGCCTCTAAGGCATTTAGCTCATAGGATATGATCAGGGGTTGATTCCAGGGTTGTCTGAATCATGAGAGGTTTAGCTTAATCTCAAGATGGATAGAAAAAAATATAGGTGTTACTGACATTTTATTTATTTATGTATTTGAGAGAGAGAGCAAGAGAGCATGAGAGGGGAGGTCAGAGGGAGAAGCAGACTCCCCACAGAGCCAAGAGCCTGGTGTGGGACTCCATCCAACTCAACCAACTGAGCCACCCAGGCGCCCCTGTTACTGACATTTTAATAGAAAGTTTGTAGATGGTACAGCTCCAGAAATTTATATAACCTTAAAAGTTGACATTATTTTTGAAAATAAGAGGTGGGTGAGATAGGTCATTGGGGTTGAAAAGCACATCTGCTGTGATGACCACAGGGTAATGAAAGGAAATGTTGAATCTCTAAATTGTACATTTGAACCTAATATTTCACTGTATGTTAACTAACTTGAATTTTTTGTGTGTGGGTGTGGGGGAAAGCGTTTATTTTAAAAATTGCAGGGACAAAGTGAAGCAGAACTAACTTGAACTTAAATAAAAACTTAAAAAATAAGAGTATAAAAAAAGTTGACATTATTTTGGGGGTATATTCTTTGGGGATTTTGTTTGTCATAGATGGATTTGAGCCTATCTTAGTATGGCACAAAATATAAAGCTGAGCAAACATCAAGTCCTTAATAAATGTTTACAAATAAACATATAATGAATTAATATGGTCTACAAAATAGAAATCTGTTGAAAAGCTGAGATTCAAGACAAAGTTTGGAAGAGAAAAACATTGCTCCTATATATTTGGCTTTTATAAGAAGCATTCAAGGTGACCTGTTAACAACACAAGCCAAATTACTTTTGCTCTTTATAAGAAGGAAAAAAGGAAAATACAAAATGCTTTAAAATGAACAACAAAGACTTCTTTGCAAAAGAAAGACAATTAAAATATTTTGTTTTAAAATACTTGATTCCAAGAACCATTAATGTGTAAAAAATATACTATTGGGATTTAAAAAGCAAAATTATTTTTTAACAGAATGAAGTGCTATTTCTAACATAGTGGTCCTCCATGAATGCTGGGCGAATGTATCAATCAGTTTGAAACTCGGAAAAATAGATCACAAAATTTCCTGACTCTGTAATGTTCTCCTTTCCACCAGTAGTGATTTACTAGTTACATGAAAATGTGCTAAGAACCCTATTTGTCAAAGGCTGGCTTTGTGGAAGATACTTAAATTCGTTACAAGAGAGCCAGTAGAATGGCAGGTTGATGGTGTGTTCACAATATCTTCACAAAATGCAGATAATTGGAACACAAGCACTAAGGGAAGTGAGCAAGAAAACTGATTTATGTCATTAATTACTCAGGTTTCCTTTTACTTTTCTAAAGGCCAAGGTGAAAACTTGAGCCACAAGTCAAACAATCTATCATGGACGCTGAAAGTGACTTTGAAGACAATGTTTAAAAGTGAAGATATGTAATACAATCCCTATCTGGTCACCATGGCTCTGAAATTCCTTGGGCTCCCAGAGAGTTTAAGATAAATCTTTAAATGACTTTTTATCATTATTAGTGTTGTCCTAACATTAGAATATTTCAGAAAGGAAATAATAAACTCAAGCTCCTTCTACATCACACAATGAAGGCTTTTCCTTCCCATTTGAAAAATTGCTTCATCTACAAACTTCTGTTTTTCTGGATATCAAATTGTTTCCTACAGAGCACCCACAGGATGTTGATAACGTGAAACAATTTCTTTTTAAAAATATTTTATTTATTAGAGGGAGAGAGAGAAGCAGACGCCCTGCTGAGCAGAGAACCTGATGCGGGGCTTAATCCCAGGACTCCGGGATCATGACCTGAGCTGAAGGCAGACACTTAACAGACTGAGCCACCCAGGTGCCCTGAGAACCTGAAACAATTTCTAAGAAGAGAATGGCTATTGAATGATGGGATCTGAAATTAGTGAAGTTATACTGTAATGTACATTTTCCAGAATGTAACAGGATGAGAAGAAAACTTTTCCACAGAAAAAAAATTACATATTCAAGTTAATGATTGTTTTTTGAGGGGTTCCAAGGTTCAAATGTGCTAATAAAACCACAAGAATTGGGAATTGTGTTAGGCTGTCATTAACAGAGACCCAGAATAGCCCTGGGGTAAATGAGGTAAAGGTTTTATTTTTTCTCTCATTAAGGAAATTGGAAAATAGTCCAGAGCTGATATGGCTTCTGATAACTTATCAGGGTGTTGCTCTGCCCCCTTCTCTTTCACTATTCTAAGCAAAGCAGTATTGCTTAAAGTTAAAATCCAGGCAAGGATGTAGAGAAGTAGAAACCTTCATACATTGCTGATGGGAATGTAAAATGATGCAGCAGCTTTGAAAAACAGTCTAGCAGTTCCTCAAGTGATTAAGCATAGAGTTAACGAGATGGCCCAGCAATTCCATTCCAAGGTATACATCCAACAGAAGTAAAGACCTACGTCCACATAAAAACTTGCACACAAATAGCTATGGAAGTATTATTCAAAATAGTCAAAAGATGGAAATAATCCAACTGTTCATCAGTGGATGGATGAGTAAATAAAATGTATTATATCTGTATAATGGAATATTATTGGGCTGTGAAAAGGAATGAAATACTGGTATATACCATAACTTGGATAAACCTTGAAAATGTGCAAATTGCAAAGAGCCAGCCACTGTAAGTCCATATGTTATATGATTCCATTCTTGTAAAAGTCTAGGATAGGGAAATATACAGAGATAGAAAGCAAATTAATGATCATTTAGGACATATACACACACACACACACACACACACACACACACATATATATCAATAAACTGTATTAGTGTACAAACATATTTATACAAACTTACGCTACATATAATACAATAATATAATATGTAATATATATATACACAATATAATAATACTATATTTAGTGGACTGTTGATATATATATGTCAACATATATATCATATATAAGAAATATATATATATATTTATCTTTTCTTTTCAGTGTTCCAGAATTCATTGTTTATACACCATACCCAGTGCTCCATGAAATACATTCCCTCCACAATACCCACCAACCACCAGGCTCACCCAACCTCCCACCCCTCTCCCCTTGATATATATTTTTAATATGTATTTTTAGTGTTCTGAGGGCTCCTTATGCTCTTAGCCAACATGCACAAGTTGAGACAGAATACCTTTTTTCCTTTTGGTGAATGGGAACCATAATGCAAATGAGTGCTTTACCATTCATCCAGACCAATAATTATGGTTTCCTCCTGCTCTGAAATCCTTTTATTTTCTGATTCATCTTTGACAGCATCATATATACTTATGATATCTGCTCTAGAGAAAGATGCTAAGATAGAGCTGAAGCTATTATTATCATCAATGTATTTATAAGAATATACATATAAATCTCTTCAAAGCTCAGCTCATTAATATGACAAAAATCATCTTTCCTGGAGTTGCTGGGAAATTGAAATTAGATAATCTGGGGGCGCCTGGATGGCTCAGAGGGTTAAGCCTTTGCCTTCAACTGGGGTCATGATCTCAGGGTCCTGGGATTGAGCCCCATGTTGGGTTCTCTGCTCAGCAGGGAGCCTGCTTCCCCATTTCTATCTGCCTACCTCTCTGCCTACTTGTGATCTCTCTGTCAAATAAATAAAAAATCTTAAAAAAAAAGAAATTAGATAATCTGTATGAATAA